GATAAAAATTCATTTTGTTAACGCATATTCATTGATTTTTCGATTTATGTTTAACGTTTGACTTTGTATTACATAAAACGAATTGGAAAATATAAAAATAGTCTTAGAAAAATGTAGATATAGAAAAATACATAAATAGTCTTGTGTCATGTTTTATTTCAAGTAATTTGAAATGTTCGTACTGATTTAAGGAATATTCGACTGTGAATTTTCGGAAATGTGAATGATTTTAAATAGGTTCAGTTCTTTTCTATATCGTAATAAGTTAAAATAAAATTTAAAATAAATTTCTTTTATTTTATAATAATTTACCTGAATATCATCTGGATCGAGTAAAACTACAGAAGAAATGAAGAAGCTCCATAATTTGTAAATTGGATAATGCACTCTACCTAATTTCCACAGTTCCTCAAGAAAATGATCTATATTATTAGAAATAAGTTAGTATTAGGTGAGAACTTTATCTACTAGGAAAAATCATAGTTTATTGTATAATTACTAAAGAAAAATATTTTAATATTCCTTACTATTGTCAACTTGAACATGATGCATATTTCCTATTATGGGATATTCCTTAGGTCCTGAAATAAGACTTAAAAGTCTTCCCACTCTTCTATATTTTATAAAGCAGTGTAATAAAAATAGAAATAAAATTGTACCTAACAAGACAGCGTACATCATGAAAATCTGCAAAATAAGCAAAATTAAAGAAATTATTTATAAATGTAGCAAGAAAAATTTTATGTATTGGATATTGTTGTCAAGGATAACAACTTTTTTTAAATACTTCATCATGGATTAAATACATAAACTACATCCGATTCAATAAAACAATTTAATGATAAAATTGTGCTTAACAAATTAGAAACGCAGTTAATCAAAAATTCGATGTGCGTGTTGACACAGAGAATAAAAAATGTAGAAAAAACGTTGTCAAGAAATTATTTAACTCACTGGGGCGTTAGATTAGGACAAAAATAGAAATAATTATTGAGACTTGATGTGAATTGTAACAAAACTGAAGACTGAGCAAGCGAAGGCTTTATACTTCCTTTCCATGGATACCATTTACTATCGGGTTGTTAATAAAATGCAGTGGTGGGGCGTAACCTGTTTTAAAGAAGGTTTCAAAGTTTTAAAGTGGAAAGAAAAAAAATAGACTGCAGATTAAAATATAGTAGAAGCGAAACTTTCTATACATCAATCTTCAACAGAATGTATCTTAAAATGTCAACTTAATATCATTGATATTTTATCATAATCTTTTTTAAGAATTTACGATACTTTTGTATTGTACTTAATCAAAATTCTTATTGATGAATTCAATAAGTGTATTTATTAATTGATTGGAAGAAATATAAATTGCACATATTTCCCCTGCTTTAGAAAGCTAAACAGACAATAATTCCAGTTGTTGCAAATCAATATCTATTTGTGGAGTAACAACACGACCTCCGTCATTTTAATTATGATTGATTGAAACTCCGTCTGCCTTCGTATGTGGTTTTTTTCTATTGAACTATAATATCAAAATTTACAATGTCTATAATGTTTTCATTATTCATTCACATCTCATTTCAAGTAAATAGGTTTAGTAGAACTTGAGATATCATGACAATCGTGAAAAAAAAGCAATTTCGAAAAAAACACGTTCAAAGTTTCGCGTAATAAGGGTAGGATATAGGATGCCGCGTCTACAACTAAAACAGCTATATAAAATATAAGAATCTGATTTTTTTTCAAAATGGCTGCCGTAGTAACTAATCTCCTGAGGCCCTAGTGGCGAAACGTATCAATCATGGGGATTTTTAGCTTTAGTTACAGCAATCTAAAATTAAAAAAAAGAGTCGGAGCGTGTTCATAATACATGTATCTTCTAGTTGAACTAAGGAAAAACTAAAAAATCAAAAAATCGTAAATTGGCACGACTCAGACAAAAAGAGTCTGATTTTTGACCCTTTTTTTAACGGTTTTTGGGTCAAAAATGGCAATTTTTGAAAATTTTGGTGGCATTTTTAAAGTTCAACTAGAAGCTAATATTATAAAGAAAATGTGTGCTAAATTTCATAAGAATCGGTTGAAACCTTTTTGAGTTATCTTTCAGCACAGTTTGAAAAAAGTCGTTTCGAGAAAAACGCGTTCAAAGTTTAACGTTCACGTTGAGTTGAGGCAGAGTACTTAAATGAATTTTTAATCGATAAATAATGCGAATTTCATTCTAAAAATTTACAGGCATATTTTTTAGATGGTAAACTAACTATTTATAAAAAAGAAAAAATTCGATTTTGTTTTTTATTTTACATGTATCGCCGGCCTTAATGTGTTTTCCCCGGGATGACGTAGCTGATCCAAAACATGGATGTAACACGGGATCAATTTTGCAATATTAGGCAAGCGACACAAAATTTAATTAACCACGTGCGCTATAAAGACGTGCCACGCACGTCGAGATGATTTGGTTTCAAAACTGCAAACGACGTGTACACCACGTCGATAGGCGTGTAATATTGTAGCGCACGGCACCGCAACCGTGAAGTTAAATCGTAGCGCAAGTGGTTAAAAACAACAAAATCAGTTTCAAACGCGATAAGGATATGGGCGAATGGATAAAATTTTATAACATAAAATACATTGATTGTATAACAAACCGGATATTATTAATTTCATAAAAAATGAGCAAGCCACGTGTCGCGCATGTTCCCACTCAAGGGGACTCCAGGGATCAAGGACGGAAACACTGATGAGATTTGGTATAGCGGCAATTAACCTTTGAATGTCTAAAGTCAAATAATAATAATAATAATAACAAAAAAAAATACATTTGATCGATGATTTTGTTTCTATTATATTTATTTTCTATCCCAGTGGTTCTTAACCGATGTTCAGCGAAATTTTATCAAAGTTCCAATGTATATTATACCTAATTAATAAATGTGTAATAAATTATAATAATTAATAAATGTAATTAATAAAAATCCTTTATAGACCATAAATCTTATATTTTGTACACAAAATATCGTACAGAAACCATCTTGTGTACTTGAATACAGTAAATTGATGGGTGCTGTGGACAAGACCGACATGGTCATCAGCACCATACATTCTATGAGAAAGACGACACGAAATGGTACAAGAAGTATTTTTTTCATATGTGGAACTCATATTGTTTATATAAATTAAAAACGGGTAAAACACTATCAATTGCAAAATTTCAATTAAAATTGATCGACCAAATTTTGAAAAAATATCATAAACAATCAAGCAATCATTGTATAAGACTCGGGAACAATTACTCAGCACGACTCAACGAAAGACATTTTCCTTCTCCTTTATGAAATTAACGGGGAAAAAAGGATCACGAAGGTGTGTCGTATGTGCAAAAAACGATAAGAGACGAGAATCTCGATATCAATTCAAAGAATGTGATGTTGTGTCGTGCGTGCATCCGTATTTCAGAATATACCATACGGAATTAAATTATTAATTACTATATATTATATATTATGTTTTATTTTATTATTGTATATTATATATTATTTCTTCACTTTTTTCAATTGTTTATAAGACATTTTTTTATCATTACATTTTACGAGAGCATGCACGTGCTTTCTTTCTGTTTGAAAAACAAAAAATACATATTATCTTTTTCCACTTCCACGTTGTAAGGACGAAAGAAGTTGATCCAAAAAAAAAACACACACACTTCAATTATAATGAATTGAAAATATACATTTATTTTTTATATATTGAATATAATAAATATATATATTTTTTTTCCTTGAGGTTTGTTTACCCGGGCGCTCAGTCTCTGGACCATTGTACCCGGGCCCCTTGCGGGGAAAAACTTATGACCGTAGCGGTCCCGCGAGCAGCCCCGACTCCCTTGCAAAGCGCAGGAGTCTGGCCGCCCCTGAGCCCACTAGGTCGAAGTTGTTGACGGTGGTCCCAAGGACATTATTTTTGACGTCCGCGAGCCCAACGCATTGAGTTATGAGATGGAGGGGGGTATCCTCCCCTTCACCGCACCTGCCACAGACCGAGTCTTGTGCAAGGCCCAGTCGCGTAAGGTGCTTTCTAAGGTGCCAGTGTCCGGTGACCAATCCTACAACCAGCCTCAATTGGGCTCGGTCCAGGTTGATCAACTCGGTACCTAGCTCCTTCGAAGGCCCTGAAAACAGAGCCTTCGTGTGCCTCATGCCAGGGCCTTGCACCCAGAGATCCCTGAAGCGGTCCGTGGCCCACTTCTTAGACCTCCTCCGCATGAGCCCCTCTGACACGCTGATGTGGCATTGGTTTGCCAAATCGTGCTGTGAAGCTCCAAGTCTGGCAAGCTCGTGCGCCCTTTCTTTGCCCTGAACGCCACTATGACCCGGCACCCAGAGCAACCTTACTCTGTTGACACTGCCAATAAATATATATACGAATTGAGATTTAAACAATTAAGTTTAATAAATAAATTTTAATGTACAATTTTATAATATTTTCTTTAAATCCGTATAAAAACAATGGTATTATTACAAAATTTATTAGTATCGCGATATTTACTTTAATTATGTATTTTTCCTATTGGTCGTGTTTAAGTAACCGGTGACCTACACAGTAGTCAACGTATTAAATATTAAAATTATTAATAATTTAAATTTTTGTTTTATTTTTTTTTTGTCCAAATTATCTTTAATTTTGAGTCTATTATTTTGTTTTTCAACAAAAAAAATAATATCAGATTCATAATCAGCAATTCTCAAAACCCTCAATTGTTTATTTAAAATTTATTTAAAATTAATTAAAAGATTAATTTTTGTTAAACTTAAAATTAATTACAATTAATTAATCACAATTAATAATAAAAATGGAAACCCCTGGCAAAGTGATTTATTTTAACGTATGACAAATTACGCGCGTATAATTGCGAATGAAAAAGCAGTATGTATCTAGTTTTATTTTAGAGAGCATTAGCCAATCAAATACTACCTTAAAAAGCAGCCTTGAATATGTGTGTACGATAATTTTGCGCCCCTGTGTCGATCAGACGAACTAAAGTCTCTGGGATCACTGGATAAACAAGTTGTTTTATGTCTCTCAAAAAATTATAAATAAATGTATTTAACTTGTTTGCATTTAAAAAGTGCATCTTTACATATACATTAACCTTATCCAATAAAAAAAAATGAATTTAAATTCATATTTTTTTTTATTGACTTATTCCTCATCGACTTAAGATAATTATTTTAATGATTTGAATACATAACTAGATATCAGTGTGAATTAAAATTTCTTGCTTCGCATGTACGTGCGTCCTGACGTATTTACAAATTTTCTAACCTTATTAACAGAATGTTGACAAGTACATGTATACATTTATAAAATGTCAAAACGTTGGAGTAATGATTATGTGGTTACGGAACACCGTGACTTACAGGTACGTAAAATGTTAAACAATTGATTTTCAATATATAAATACAATGAAATAATAAATGATACTGTATTCATATATTTATTAATAATTTCAGGCTAATACTATGGCCATAGATGCAACTGGCAATTATGTTTTACTAGCTGGGTATAATACATTTATTATTAATTTATTAATTTATTAAATATGAATTTATTTACAAATTTCTATCTTCCATAGTCGTAGATACTTTGCCATAAAACAATTGGGTGAATGCAAAGAGACATTAAAAAAATTTCAACGACAAAGTAAATATGAAGTAGGTTCTGCAGAATGGAATCCAACATCGTTAAATTGTCACTTATGTGCAATATCAGTAAGAAGTAATATTTGATAAATTTATCGTTATTTAATTAATAACATTTATTTTCATCAAAAATAATATCCGTTTTTTTCTCAGAGTAATACCCGTATAGAAATATTGAACCTATCAACAAATGGTGGATATGAATTGCAAACTATTTATAGCCTTAAAGCACACACCCGTGTAGTTAATGATATAAATTGGCATCCTAAAGAACCTGACATCATAGCTTCTTGTAGCATTGATACTTTTATACATATTTGGGATATAAGAGATCAACGAAGACCTTGTTTATCTTTATCAGCAGTTGGTAAGCAAAGAGAAATCAATTATATAATAAAAAAAACACTGTTTAATGTGAATTAAATATTGCGTTATATAAATACTGTCTGTGTATAATGCAATTTAAAAAACTGCTATAAGAAAACTTATTTATGGATATGAAAACATATTTGATTTTAAATTGGCTCAAAGATCATAATTTTTTATAAATTTTTTTTGCAATAAGGAACGTTTTTTTAAATGTGCATATTGTAGCTATACAGCTATACAGAATAGTAAAAATAAAAGGATTCGATATATTTTAAGAGTTTGTGATACTTGTACTGATTAAAAAGAGTAAAAAGTTATAACATGGGTCCTAAAAACAATTCTTTTCAATGTATACTAATTTTTATTATTTATAAGCATTCTATATATCATAAGCGAGTCTTTTGACAATATATTAAATAAATATGGTAGAAATTTCAAGATATATTTAAAAGTGTATGATCCACAGATGTTAGAATCACACTAAAAATAAAAAGAAGACATATTATCGAATATCTACGATATGCATATATTATATTTGCATTTACAAAATAATCATTATTGATAATAGTATTAATTTGTGCTTATAAAATAATCTTGACTAACTTGAATTAATATATTTTTTTAAACAAATTGATCTATGTACAGTCAATATGTCACCAAGAGATTCGCTAACAATATCTCAAACGCTTATAAATAATAAAAGTTTATTTACATCGACTGAATTGATTTTAGGATCTTGTTAATTCAACATTTTTTATTCCTTCTGATAATTACTATAAACTTTTAAAATATTGAACACTTGTTTTGTATCATCCTGTATACTTTCAGAATGAAATATGACTTTTATTATTAATGAACATTTTGAACACATAGCTGGATCTTCACAAGTACGTTGGAATGGCTTATCATCTCATACATTGGCTACTACTCATGACGGAGATATTAAAATATGGGATCAACGTAAAGGAAACAGTCCTGTTCAATACATAGCAGCGCATTTAACAAAGGTTGTTATACTTAGTCTTTTTTATATTATATATTATGTCTGTAATTTATAAAATCTTATATTATTTTAGATACATGGTTTAGATTGGTGTCCATTTAATCAAACTCAATTGGCAACGTCTAGTCAAGATTGTACGGTTAAAATTTTTGATATTGGCAATCCTAAAAAGGCAGAAAATATTTTAACAACGAATTCTCCTGTATGGAGAGCCCGATATACAGTAAGTAAGCTTCAATATATAATTTTAAATATATGTATTACTTAAACATGATAATATCTCATTTTATTCTTTAATAATAAATTTATATCGTCAAAATAAAGCGATAACGAGTCACACAAAAGTATGCGCAGCTGTTATAATATTGAATTAAGTTGTAATAAAAAAAAATGACGTTTTAGTTGTTTTATAGAATTAATCATTTTTTTTACTAACTTCTTTTGATTTACTTCATTTAAATATATATATATATATATATATATATATATATATATATATATATTTTTCTTTTTCGTATAAAATCAAATAATAATTACAGTTAGAAATTGAATCTGCTGTTGTTAAATAATATTCAGTAAAACAAAATATAATACATAATGGCAACTCGTAAATCGAACATTAATTTCTTGATTCTTTGATCTTCCTTCATTTGATCTGAAAAATGTGAAACGTTAGGTTTAATTGGCCAGATTTGTTTTACCTTCTGTTTACACTATACACAATATTTTCATAACAATTATTTATATTCTTTTTCATTTCATTTCGTTTTACAATTAATCTCAAAATATTTTAAACATCTAAAAATAAAACGAATATATTTTAGTTTTCATTAAAATTACGATTGTAATAGAAAATGATAACTACTTTTTTCTATATAACGTGTATACTCGTCATAACACCAAATATTCCCATTTCACCGTAACATATGCTATAACTGGTTAAATGAAAAAAATTAAATGTTTAAACTGTATTATCCAAGAATATAAACAAAGTTATGATTATTAACATATTTTATAATAATATAGGTGAAATACAGTAAATATGATGAAGTATATTTTATACATGAAAACCTTCATTTTCTAGCCTTTTGGAGAAGGATTAGTAACGATTGTAGTACCACAGTTAAGACGGGGAGAGAATAGCCTTTTATTATGGAATACATCAAATCTTAGTGCTCCCATATATACTTTTGTAGGACATACTGATGTTGTTTTAGAGTTCCAATGGCGACATAAAAAATTAGGTATTATATCTAATATTTTAAACAATATATATTAATCATTTAAAATATCTCTCTTTAAATTCATTTCTACATAGAAAATACGGATTATGAATTAATAACTTGGTCAAAGGATCAATGTTTAAGGGTATTTAAAATTGATCCTTTTTTAAAAAAGGTAAGATAATTACAGAATATACTATGATAATTGAATATTCATAAAGAAAATAAGATATTTATAAATATTTATAATGTTTTAGTTATGTGGACATGACATTGACGATAACGCATCAGTTTTTTCCCAATATGGAAAAGATAATGCATTAAGTATGTATGAATTAATATTATTTATACATAGATATAAAAAGAATATTGATTTATGCGATTTTCCAGGTTCTTTGCAATCTGTTCAACAACTTCAAATAAATGATGCACAAAATAACCAGGAAACTAATTATATAGAAACAAAAGTTGATGATTCTGCATCAAGTACAGAATTAAGTACATTTTCGGAAAATACAAAGGATGTATCATCACCTACTCAACCAAAAACATTACAACAAGAATTTTCTTTAATAAATATGAATATACCAAATATAGAGGTAATATAATTTCAAATAAACATAATCAAATTTATTATTCTTTATATAAATATTAAATAATTATTTAGGTAAATGCTATGGATGCAAGTGAACGAAGTTGTACTGTTACAGCGTGTAACACTAATTATAATGTAGTACTTAAAGTAAATTTCCCTAGAAATTATCCATACAATGCACAACCTACATTCCAATTTTGCCCAGGAACAAGCATTGATAATGCGACGATGGCAAAATTATTAAAAGTATTGAAACAAACTGCTCAACAACGTGTCAGAAAAAATCGATCCTGTTTAGAACCATGTCTCAGACAATTGATTATAACATTAGAACAAGTAAATAAATAATTGTACATTTTGTATTCTAATATTTCGATCGTAGATAGATTATTATATATATATATATATATTTTATGTTATTATAGATATGCAAAAAAGATGAAAATGAGACCTCTCATCTAGATTATTATATACAGGATAATGCAAACTTTTTAAATTCTTCTAATATGTGTTCTAATTATCAAGATGCATATATACCATTTCCTCGAACATCCGGTGCCAAATTTTGTTGTGTAGGTTTGTAGACATATTGTAAACATTGAAAAATTTGTTAATATTATCTATAATACTAATATGTGTTTCTAGGTATACTTGTATGTTTTGGTCGATCATCATATCCAAGAAGGTCTTCGGTAAAACCTGAAAGTACAACACCTAGAGCATTATCTGCTTTAGGAAGCGGAATCAATAATGGAGAACATTTTATGAATATGTATCCAAATACTTACGTGGCATCCAATGATGGTATATCAATCAGTTCTTTTTATTTTCAAGACCGTGTAAGTTTAATATTATTTACAACATTTTTTATACATATTATCTTTTAATGAAAATAGTAATAATCAAATTGATATTAATAGAAAAACATAAGACGTAATTTACATGGTACAAATAGGATACACGATAGACCATGTTGTAAAAATTATCGTTCATTAGTTACAATTTATGATGCTTCGTCTCTATTTTTTGTTAGTAAAGAACTAGCAGAAAAATATATGTGAGTATAACAAGAAATGTCATATATTATTAATATAGTATTATTTTATCGTAATTAAGTATTAACTTCAATTTAAACATTTTTTTTTTATAATTTTACTATTAAAGCAATTGATTAATACAATAATTCCTTTATTTATGCGGTCTCTCATTTAGGAAAATTCATTTTAAGTGTGATCAAAAATTAATGAAATTAAAAGTAATAACACTCACAAGGATTACTAGTAAGAAAATAATTAAGAAAAGGGCAAAAACCCAAATAAGTTTAAAAGTCAAATTAAAAATTATCCAGATATTAGAAAAAGATGACAAAATTAATAATGTTATTCGATTGTATAATCTAAATGAATCCACACACACACAATTGGCACTATTAACAAAAATTCTGACACTTTTCGTAGTTCTATTTATTTGCTTTTTTTTTTTATTCCGTATAAATGGAGAGGGATTACTGTATTTAACTCTTTATATTAGAAATAAATTTCCTCAGTAATTAGACTTAATATGATGAAATATTCATTTAATAATAAATGATATAACAATATATATTATTTTATCAAGTTTTATTGCTTTTTATTTTATGGAGTTAATCAATCCGATAAAAGAATGATTTAATTATTTTTTATAATCTTTATATATATATATATCAATATAGTTTTGTCAAAACTTATTCTTTGTTGTAGTATTAATATAACAGATATTCCAGCTATGTGTCAGTATAATGCAAATGTTGCTGCTACATTGGAAAGAGCTGATTTGGTACAAGCTTGGTGTTTAGCTGCACTTGTTATATCACAATCTTCTTCCAATATAGGACAAAACTTATTTCAAACGTCAGAAAATGATCTTGCACCATGGACTTTACATCCATTTGGAAAAAATTTAATTCACTCTTTGTAAGTGTTTTATTGTAACAACAAAATATATTTGTAATATAACAAAAAGTATATATTCTACTTATATTTACTTTTCAGAATTCAGCATTATGCTAATCAATCTGACATACAAATGGCTGGTATGTTGAGTTGTGCATTTAGCTATCGATCTGAAAATGTAGATGCTACACAAACACGAATAGTTAGCAAATCTGTTAATGTCAGCGTAAGTGTACTCGCTGTCTTTTAAAAGCAATCATTTTTAATACATGGTGCGTCTGAAAAGTTCGATGAATGGTCCCATATTTTACAAACCGCGCTGGCGAGGATGAGGTGCCCGCGCATACACATTGAAGGACATGTCAACAAACGCTTCCTATCGTGCAAAGCATAGCAGTGAAGCGGTGGTACATGCTGCGACCCAGCTAACAGGGTCAGGGTGATAACTCTGTGTCATTACAACATGCAGCGCAAAATGGAGCAAAATGCTCAACTTTCTTGGTAGACGCGAGGTCACTGTGCTTCCACATCCTCCTTATTCTCCAGATTTGTCGCCAGCAAACTTCTTTCTGTTTCCCCTCCTTAAATTAGCTCTGAAAGGCTTACGCTTCGCAACGGTTTTGGAAATCGTGAGCGTGACCTCAGTGCTACAAGAAGCGTTTGCTGATAGTTTCCAACAGCTGTACAACCGATGTCAGAATTGTATTGTAGCAAATGGCGATTACTTTAAAGGCCAGTTAAAGTATTTTGTTTGTTACTCTTGTTTCTTTTATTTCCTGAGACCATTCACTGAACTTTTCAGATGTTTATATCTCGGGAACGGTTGACCTTTCGAAACCTATGTTTACTAGGACTTTTTTACTCAACACAGTGTGCCCTCCCTATCTACCATATAAATATTGAATGCTTTTTTTTGAACACCCTGTATATTTACTTACTACCGAAATTACTTTCTTACCAACCCAATAATATATTAACAACAAAATACACATTTTAGCCTGGTGGTTCCCCGTATCATACAATTCATCTAGCGGATACAACACTAGACGGATGTAATTTTCCAAATTTAAAACAACATAGATCCAATTCATGGTCCGAATCTTTAGACGATTTGAAAACTATGCAAGATACATTTGGAGATTCTGTTAAAAATATTAAGTAAGTATACAAAATTTATAATTTAATTTTTTTTTTTAAATTGTCATAAAACTTAAATTAACGATTAAGTCATAATCCCAACAGAGTACTTGACGACAAATATACAGCACTTTATAATGGATACAAAAAAGCATACGCAGAAGTATTACATAGATGGCAATTGTTAGATGCAAGAGCACAAGTGCTCAAGCATGTAAGCTTAATGCCAATTGATATACATAAAGGTGTTGAATTCCAAAGTGAATGTCAAATCTGTGGTAAAGTTTGCAGAGGTCCTCAATGCTTAAACTGTAAACGTTTAACATTTCAATGCGTAGTTTGTCATATTTCAGTTAGAGGTTTGTATATTATTGTTATAATAATAATACCAAAAATGATGTAATAAATTTCAACAATTTTATATTAATGCAATATTTCTAGGACCAAGCAACTTTTGCATTCTTTGTGGCCATGGTGGACATACTCAACACTTAGCAGCTTGGTTTGTTAATGAAACAGTTTGTCCAGCAGGTTGTGGATGTTGTTGTTTACAAGAAAGTTCTATACTATTAAAAATGTAAATAACGCAAATGTAAATACTAGTAAAAAATATTACTTATCACAATGAAATAGTATTTTAAACATAAGGAGTAAGTTATTAGAAGAAATTATCTGCATGGCTATTAATATTAACACTTAGCCAACCGATTGAGGAGATCTCCCATATTTACGTTAGCAAGACGAAAAATGCGCGGTGGAAGACTCACAGTTCGTTGTGACACGACCGGGTTATTAGCTAAGTATTAATATAATTTATTGTTAATCTTATTTTTTTAATTATATACAGTAGGGCCTATAACGTGGACTAAAAATTGCGTCATTGCGTTAGGGGCCTGGTAGAGTGTAGCGTAGCACCACTCTTTAATCTCAACAGGACTGGTTGAGCCTACTTTAAAAATACGCCCCTGTCCTGACAAGCAATGATTTTCTCTCATTCTCATCTCATCGAAAGAGATTTTGCCCTTTTCCTGGCTTGATCCAAGTGGCAATGCCCTTCCCGATTGACTCCCGGTGTCGATGCCGATAAATACTGTAAGTATAGAACCTGGGCTAATGAGGATTCCCACCCAAAAGGAGTTTGCATGCAAGGTCCGTTTCATGGAGGATAACGGATGCCTTGATCACCTCCTTCCAATCGGAAGGAACTGCGTTCAAAAACAGTTTAGTCTCTGAAGTGACAAGAGAAACCCATATTCTTAAAAATATTATGTTACAAGAGCACAAGAGTTGCGAGGAAGAGGAACAAATTTGAGAATAGATAAGGGCATCTAACAAGATAAAGAAGATGGATAAGCAAGCTGCAGCTTCAGCCAAGACTTGAAAAACATCATCAAGTCTAATCGAGGCCAATACAAAAGATGCAAGTGTCCCTTGTAAAACGTATTATATCTCGTTTTATAGAGGGTCCCCCTCCTATTGTACTAACAAATTTAATTGATCATTAATATTTAATGTTTTTTCAGCTATTATTATTATTATTATGGTATATTTTATTCCTCATTAACAAGATTTTCTTGACTTTCTTTGACAAAAGAGGAATTAAGAAATAACTTCTCCAACTCTCGTATTTCGACTGAAAATAAAAATTGAATAAATGCATATATATTCAATATATTAACACACTATCGGCGAGTCGGGTATTTCTACCCGTTCCACAGACTGGCGCTGGTCGGCGGGTCGCGTAATAATACGTTTTATACAGAACGTAAGCTAATTTTCAGTAAAACACTTACTAATGCTTGTTTTTTTTTTCTGCAAAGCCTGACCAGTGTTTAGTCCTAAATTTATGAATTTTTAAGAAAAACTAATAATTTGATGAAGTGTGCTATTTTGACACTGCAAGTATCGTGCTTACAAAGTAGCATAAATTCAGTTGATTAATTTTGATAGCATTGAGTTTAAGTTTTCTACATTTTCGAAATACTATTTGATAGCTATTTTTCAAATTTCATTGAAATCTTATTATTAGATGTGAAGATATAACGTGTTTTCTAAAAAGTGCACTGCTTTCATATTTCGCTCATTTTCGCCCACGTTCCCGACGATAGTGTATTAATATTGAATATAATGTATTATTTTAAAAACAAAAAGAATTATACTTTCATCGCGAATCGCTTTTTCACGTGCAAGTTGAGCTTCTTTAATAGGTCTTATTCTTGCTTCTTCCTCACGTAATGCACTTTCCAAAGCGTGATATTTTTTATGATTATTAAATCCATAAACAACTCCAACAATTAAAAACGTCCATCTAGCAAACTAAACTTATATAAGATTTGAATAAACAAATTTGTGTACCTTACCTTTATTAACGGACTAATTTCATACGGAAGATAAACAACTTTTTTGTTAACCATAATTAATTACCCAAAAAAATGACATAATTAATTTATTAATGAAGTAACTATTTTATTATCTGTATGATGTGAATTATGTTACAAATTACTTATCTATTTTTTTTGTTTGGATTTTTTATGTACATATACAGGGTGTTGTTCCATAAACATTTCCTACCGAACGGGAAAAGACCACTAGGTAGACCGAGACGTAAATAGGAGAACTAGATGTTAGGTCGTACAAGGGGGCGGATTGCGACTCGGATCATTTGATGAGGATTTGACTCGGATCATGAGATTTAAATTTTAATCAATAAGTTTTCGGTTGCTAAGATTTTAGTTGCTAATCAATAAAACATTAGTTGTTTATGAATGAATTGAGATATTAAGAAAAAAAAAAGATCGTAATCAGTTGTTCAGTTGTATCAAATGCAAAACCATTCTTTTCGATATCGGTTGTGAAAAAGTTGTTCTCTACATTAAATAAGAAAAATTGTGTTACTCTTTTTGTGTTTTACTTGTTACTTTTTAAATTACATTTCCTTAATATTTATTTGCTTTTATTTTAAAGAACGTTATCGTACACATTCAAGAAGTTTTTAAGACGAAGATTTTAGAAGTTCGCCAGCTTCATGCAGAGCTGTCAGTCTGTCATCTTCCAAAACGTGTCCTGTGAAACCTGCTTCTTAGAACATCATCTTAGCTGTGGTTCTTGCATCTGAGTATCTTGACTATAATATCTGAGTCTGAGAAAATCATCTTTGTTGTGACATGTGAGTCTGATTCATAGAATATCAACTACTGGTGACTTCTAGACCAGAAAATCATCGTACCCAAGGTTCGGTAACTCCCGTACCTTGTAAGGTCACACCTGCAAGCTCCCTTGAATACATTTCACAAGTCTTCTCTGTTACATCAACTATAAGTGGCTTCTAGACTAGAAAATCACCGTATTCAAGGTTCAATCAGAAACCTCACCTTGCTAGGTTGCCTACAAGTTCCCTTGTGGTACCCTCTTTAGAAAATCATCGTACCCAAGGCTTAGTCAACCCGCCAACTTGTAGGTCACACCTGCAAGCTCCCTTGAATACATTCTAGAAGTCTTCTTCCTCATTAAGTTTCAGAAATAACTACATTTTTGTTTTAGCCTAACGTTTATCCACTGAGTGAGTAGAAATTTTACCTGATCTCAAACGTACTATATTGGAAATATCGTGTTAATAAAATTAATACGCTAATAATTAAAATTCTTAAGACTGTACTAATAAGCGCAATAACGTTATTCAATTTACTCATTAAAATATTAATTGGAAACTCATTCTTCACATTTGATTAATTAACACAGTCAAAATGTCGTGTCGTCAATTAGATCTGTTCTCTGATATTTCAAAATTTGACTTTGGAATTAGAAGTCTTATTTTAGTGATGGCGAACTTATGACCCCTGAGTAAACGCTAACATGCCACGCGCAAACCACACAATGCTCTACCACAAGCAAACATCTTTCCACGTGCCAAACTTACTTTTATTTTTTAAACGCTTTGTCATACACACGCACACACACAATCATACTACGTATTCCACTCGACATAATTTTAGTTGAATAACGAAATTTGCTTTTGTAATGACGTTTAGGTCAATATATTTCTATGAAAAATGTCAATGAATTTTTTGTAAAATTAACGATTACAAATAGGATTGAAAATAAATGGTTGTAAGATGCGTAACACTAATTTATACGTAATTTAGACGTTGTATTACAAAACTAACAGAAAATAAAAACCAAAATGTTTTTTTACTCACTGTTCTCTTTCTGTTTCTTATTGTAAGTGCATCATCGTTCTTATCTACTAATTTAATTCTAGTTAGAAATGCAATACTTACAACTGGAGATATGCTTACTGAGTAAAGTATTGCTATCAGATAAATGAAAATAGCATAAAAAWTATTAATTACAATTTGAATTTATAATATAGCGTTTAATAACGCTTTTCAATATTATACATTTTTATTTTATTATAATATGTACAAACTTTAATAAGGCATTAAAATGTTCGATACATATTTTTGAATGAACTACATAAAAATATATTAATTCTCTTGTCTGTTTTACGAATTTATATTGCCTTGGCGCAATACTCCTACTAAATATGTAACAGCAGTTAYATATTTTTAAATTGAAATAAAGGAAGTAATTTGAATCGTTTAATCGTCGACGCAATATRAGATATTTTWAAAATAAAAGTACAATRACAATGCTTTATAYGCGTAAGATATTTAAATTTTTAAAACAAATGGCATAAATATCAATTTAAATTAGAYCTACTATTCCGWAGTCTRTATAAACAACAGCTAMTACAATTAATAGRTTCAGTTRACAACCAAAGTKGTATTTGATCGTAGTTTCTGTATAGATACATTWMGCAATTATGAATTTAGAAGGTTYAGAAGATAGTGCAGTGATCATTTCTGGAATATCCGGAAAATTTCCTAGCAGCTGCAATATCAATGAATTAATAGCGGGGAATCTAATAAGTGGGAAAGWTTGCTCGATTTTAGATCATGAAAGATGGAAATTAGGTAAGAATAAGTTAATCCTTTATATGCACGTGTAACTTTCAAGTAACATATTCATTTTTCACCATTTTAATAAACAATATTAGTTTTTTTTAAATTAAATGTCATATACATCTTAATTTTTAAATCTACAAACAATTATAAAGAATATAAAAAGAATACCAAGTACAATACTTCCATTAAAAAACGTGCGAAAAGATGAAGTATATTCATATGTATTTATTTGTAACGTCAAGTGAAAATTGTTTCGTAGAAATTTTGGCCGTTGTTACCTGAAAGTCATAGTGAATATACTGTAAAAAAATTGTTTAACCAAAAAATTTTTTGTTCATGTGCATATATATATATCTATATATATGTTTATAATTGCTGATTTTTCGTTTCCCCAATTTTTTTCGAGTGAAAAACAAAATTTGGCCCATAGAGGGTTACATTAGTTTTTATACGAAAATATGTTACTGTTCGAAAGCGTATGTAAAATGCTTTGATAGAAGATGTTGGAAAAACATTTTGCACTAATCGGCAGTAATTTGTGAAGCGACACAGATACTTCCGTACGTCTCTCACTTCTTCCCATCGTCCTTAAGGAAATCCGACCAATAGAAATAGCCGCCCTTATTGTTCCTTATGTAAGCCTGTTTAAGTTGTTCCTTATGTATGCCTGAGTATATGTGTGCCTCTTTGCTGACAAAAAAAAATTTCTCTCAACAGTCATATTACAGTACTTTTTTTTATTGGTTTCATAAAATATTATTTTCTAGATCCTTGGTCTAAAATACCATCTCGGGATTGGGGATAATTTCTGATCTAACGAAATTCGACAACTTCTTTTTTGGAATTACTACTTTTTTGGAAACTACGTTTGAAGCAATTATTAATGCTGGAAACTCTCTGAATTAGGTAAAATAAAAGTATGTCAAAAATAATTGCTTTCAGTACCTACATATATAGACAAAAAGGCAACTGTTTCTTGTATTTTATATAGGAAATAAATAATATAAAGATATAGTAAATAAAATAAACTCTTCTTTTATATGCAACACCATTTTGTTTTTTCTCGGTTATTTTCTTTGAAAGTTCTCAAAGATTACTCTAATTGTCTTATATATATTTTTCAAAAATTAGTTCCGAATTAATATTATTATATATTAAATCCAAGAATTTCTTCTTGTGGATCCTTTTCTTCAAATCGTTGCTAAATAATTTCATACACAATCATGATTAATGAGATGTAAAACTTATATGTGCCCATAATTATGAAATTGGTCTAAGTCATGTATCTCTTGTTTCGATATGAATTTTATATAATATTGAAATAACAAAAATTATCTAACGATTTATTTTTGACAATATCGTGAAAATTACATTGAATTTATTTAGTTTAAAATAATGTGGTGCGTAATAACTGATAAACTCTTCTTTTTTTTTTTTTTTTTTAATTTTAACTTAAACCACTTTCATAATTATGGGCACATATGTAATAAAAATATTAAAAATAATTATATCGTTAGCTAATCGAATCAAAAAGAAGATAATAATATTAACGACATAAAAATAAAATGAATTACCTCCTTGTCGGTCTCCCCAACGAGGATATTTTGCTCGTTGTCATCTACGGAATTATCTTTTATTAAATGCCGAACAGCGATTACTGAAGATTTTGTGCATAGTATAGAATTTAGTCGTTTTAAAAGTAATGACATTTTTTTGTAATATACATTTTTAAATTTATCGTCAACTACTGCATTTTCTAAAAGATTAGGCAATAAAATAAATAAACCATGAAGGGAAGATTCTTTTCTTATTTTGCATAATTTTTCAATATTAGTGTCTCTTAAACCATCTCCGTCTAAGTCGAACGAAGAGAAAATACAAAATTTTACATGAGATAGACAGAACTTTCTGCTATATTCATCTATTATTTCAGTAACTTTGAAATACTTGAACGAAGAAATTGAAGAATCAATCTCCATTCTTTGTAGATCAAATATGCCATCTAGTGGACCTATAGTTAAGACTTCTTTGAATAATTTCTCGATACATGTGACATTGCTTAAGTCATTTTCATGTCGGACAATGACCGTTACTCCATTTTTGCGCCATTTAAGGACCGCATATTCGTGACCCTTTATAGACATATCAGAAGCAATGATTAATTTTTTAACTCCTTGTTCGATCATTCATTCGATTAGTACTTTGCCAAAGATATTATAATCATTTATGACGAGGTAGCATTTATTGCTATGGAACCAAAATTAAGGAATGAAATTGGAAAGTGTTTTATCTTCTTGCAAGTTGACTAAAATCTGAAAAAAATACATTTGTAATATAATTGTCAAAAAATACAATCAAATTTTATTAGATAAATAGTATAAATAATTATTTACTTTTCCATAACGTTCACAAGCATTAATGTTTCTTTCTTCTGTTGCTCCTTGAAGAAAAAGTCTTCGTGATATAATTGGTTTTAAACTGCCCATTTTAAGAGCTGTTCTCACCAGATCTGCTGCTTCTCTCTTAATTTTCGCTGGCAACTTAATAAGGTCTTGTAAACAGTAGTCGTATATACTTAGGGATTGTATAAAATTAGATAGTGGTATCGGATTGTAACTAGGCCCTTTACAATCGTAAATCATTACTAAATGTTTTAAAGTTTTAACAATATCTAAACAATCTACCATATTGTCTAAGATGGAATAGTTTGCAACTACAAAATCAAAGCCTTTGCCTTTTGTAATATTTWGAATATAACTTTTATAATTATTAACATTTATATAATATGAGTTTGTGGTAAGCTTGGTCGTATTGACTCGATGACTCGTTTTTCTGCTTCTGTTTCATAAGTAGTGTAAACATCAAAATTATATAATAAAGATAAATTTATAAAAGCCTGTCCGTCCTATGTCACTAGCACCAAAATTTATTAATACAGTTTTAATTGTTTTAAACCTCCATTTATCTGAATGTAAAATAATAAAAGCTGCCAAATAAGCTTGGGGAATCGTTGCAGCATCTTCAAAGCTTAAAGTTTCTGAAATAATTCAAGTTAAATCTGGATCTGGTAAAATTTCATTACTTATAGTTAAATTATCAACAAGCCCCATTACTCTATGACCTTTTTCATCCGTTCCTGAATATTCTGTAATGGATATCTGTGATTCTAGGCTGACGTCATTTTTTAAGCAGTATTCGTAAACATTCAAGTCGAATGTTGGAAACTCTACTTTTACGATACTTTCATTTTTTCTTCTAAACAATGGTAGGTCTTCCGTCCATTCTAAAGAACTTAGTTTATTAATTTGTGCTTTCCAACGCAAAGAAGAAGTAGACTTAACTGACAATGGCACCCATCTGCATGTGCCCCATTCCCCATTTGGCGTTAAGACGTTTTCACAAAGATTAAGTTTTATTTGTGATTCATAGAATTCATTTTGAAGTGAGAATTTCGGTGCTTTTGCATCTTGTAGATCGACGATTTGAAGTTTCTTATATCCCGGTTCTTGTCTTATACCTTGAAGTATCTCAAATAAATGATTATCTATGATAGTGTTAACCACAAATATAACATTGTCATATTTCGAGTCTCGTAAACAGATTTTTAAACGATCTAGACAGTTTTCTTTGCTACTCAAAACAATCACTTTTCTTAAATTTCTTTCTTTGCGTAAAAGTAGAACAATACGACAAAGAGAAATGTTGATCTTTAAAATGACATTTAATCCAATACTTGCTAATGCAGAGATCACATGATCCTCCTCTTCTGTTTCCATGATTGTCAATAAAAATGATTCTTTACCGAGAGTACTAATCAATTTTCTTACATCCTTAAAATGCGCATTATTTATAATCGTCAAAATAAAATTCTCATTTATTGTCTGGTTAAGGAACTCTCTGGTAATTAATTTTATATTGAAGTTTTTCCTCGTCCTTTGTATGATATTCTCGAGAAACTCCAAAATGTTTTCATTTTTGTTTTTTGAGTCATTTATTACCAATATATTTTCTATATTTTTTTTTTTTGCTAATATTTGTTGAAATTAATCCTAGTACTACGTTTAATACGTCGTCAATATCCATCTCTGTTTTATTTATATTTTGGATAAATCGAAGTTCATCCGCGATAATTTCCCAATGATTGTTTTCAAATATTATTTCTTGAAATTGAATCCCAATCATCTCAATTCCGGGGCAAGCTATCACATTAATCTGTTTGTCGAATTTCATCGATAGCTCAGTGAAAAAAAATCATTATATACTACTAGAGGTGCTCCGCCACGCGTTGCTGTGACTTATAATCAGTCCGATACGCACGTCTTTAAGTCAACGAATTACCTTATACCACCATCTGTTAGAATCTTATCGAACTAGCAGAGATAATCATGACTCTTTGTTAATAAACAAATAATTCGCAATAAAATAATATTGCGATTATAAATTGAGATATAAACTATCCTATCTTTTAAGTTGGATGAAACTGCACACAGTGTGTAAAATTTTATTACAATCGGTTCAGTAGTTTAGGAGTCCATTGCGGACAAACAACGTGACACGTAATTTATATATATTAAGATATAATTTATTAAACTATGATATATGTAATGTTCTTTTGTGTGTTAATAGCAGCGTAGCAATCCGTCCAAATGGTTGGTTTTGTAATGACTTTTACGCGAACCTCCTGAAGACATTGCGCTTCTTCTGGAGGCTCGGAATAATGAAGATTCGGAGGTATAACTCCGGTCTCCATAGCAATTAGTACCTAGAAATTACAAACAGAATCTAATACAGAATAATAAACCAAATTTGTATTGTGTTAAATTWAATTTTGTCTTTTCAGTTATTTTACCTTGATTATTGAATTTAATATATTATTATTAAATGTATAACACCAATGTTTGATTTAATTAATCCTATTAAGAGAGGATTAGAATAACTTCGATCTTGACCATAAACAAGATCTATTGCCTTTATTTCTTCTAGATCCATTGATTTGATTGATGTACCATCGGCCTCGATGTAAGTTACGTCGCTAGGTCTTAAACCACATTGTTTCAATGTCTGTTTCATTATTTGAGCTTGAAATTCAGCTGTAAAAAATATACAATTTTTTCTTAAAAATTGCTAGAGGGTAACTAGCAAAAATATTAACGACCTCAGCATAAAGTCACTTTGCATCTTTGGCTCTTTGTAAGAAAATAGTTTCTATCGACTCGCTTCTTAAGATTCCAGAAGCATTTTTATCGAAAGATCTGCTTAGCCCGTCGGATGACAACAAACGTAAATTTCGAGATGCATACAACCAAAAATTATTTATAAATTAGGAAAATATTCATTTGGCTTTTCTAAAAATTTTCATTATTATTTAAATGATCAAAATACAAGAAACAGTTGCCTTTTTGTCTATATATGTAGGTACAGAAAGTAATTATTCTTGACATACTTTTATTTTACCTAATTCAGAAAGTTTCCAGCATTAATAATTGCTTCAAACGTAGTATCCAAAAAAAGTAGTAATTCCAAAAAAGAAGTTGTCGAATTTCGTTAGATCAGAAATTATCCCCAATCCCGAGATGGTATTTTAGACCAAGGATCGAGAAAATAATATTTTATGAAACCAATAAAGAAAAGTACTGTAATATGACTGTTGAGAGAAATTTTTCTTTGTCAGCAACAAGACACACACATACTCAGGCATACATAAGGAACAACTTAAACAGGCTTGAGACAATTAAAAACGCTTTCGAACAGTAACATATTTTCGTATAAAAACTAATGTAACCCTCTATGGGCCAAATTTTGTTTTTCAATCGAAAAAAATTGGGGAAACGAAAAATCAGCAATTATAAACATATATATAGATATATATATATATATGCACATGAACAAAAAATTTTTTGGTTAAACAATTTTTTTACAGTATATTCACTATGACTTTCAGGTAACAACGGCCAAAATTT